AAAGGGGAGGGAGGGAGAAAGAGGAGATCGAGAGCAAGAAAGAAAGGGAGAGACACTCGTACATGTAAGTCAGAAGACATGCAGGCACGTGCTCACAAAGAGAGAAAGAGGGAAATAGAGAAAGATAGAGAGAGATAGATAGAGAAAGAGAGCGAGAAAGAGAGAAAAGAGAGAGAGAGAGAAAGAGAGAGAGGAAGAGAGAGAGGAGGGAAGGAAGGGGGGGGGGGGGGAGGTGGCAGAAATGAAGCAGTCGTTTCATTGTCTTTAATACCAGGGTGTGTATTCACTCTTAGAACAATCAATAATAGAATGTGTTTGCATTGTGGAGGGAACGAAACATCTGATGTGTGGATTTTTATTGGGTATCAAATTCGTAATTTTTACACATCAGACATGTTTTTAATTAAAATTTAAATTAAAGGAACTTGTATAGGTGAGGAAGTTACTTTATTGCCTCTTTGTTCTGTTATCAGCATTGTCTTTTTATCAGCATTGTTTTCATAAGAATATCTTAGTATCACTGCTGAGTGTATTCGGAAATGGCAGTTATTTAATATTTCCAGTCTTGTTTTATTTCATGCCCATTTCTCTTTGCCATATCATATGTATATTTCCGATATGAAGTTATTCTTTCAAAAAATATTTAATTTCATAATATGAATATATTAAATTATATCCCTTCTATGAATATTCATGAGTTTTCTAAATACATGATTGGTCAATTGGTGGTCACGTGATAAAATATAATTTCACTATTTGAAACAAATCTCTGCCAGAGCTCCGAATATTTTCCACTATTTTTTCATGGGCAGAACTGCGCATGCTCTATGAGATTTTCAGGTAGAAAAGCATTGTGACGTCACATCATGTTCAGTCAAAAATAATGCGCAATTAGTGCGTCTCATTAAATGCGCATTTAATAATTGTGCGCAGGTTAAATCGACAAATTTAAACTAGGCTGATTATAAACCTCGCCAATACCGGGGTGACATACAAATAAAGTTAAAAACCATAATGCCAGCCAATCATTAATCAAACGTTCGAATCGTAACGAAGTGATATAAAACAAATATACCAAGCATTTAGTTTGTAAGAATAGTGGAAATTATATATCTTCGGAGGGACTGCAATAGTTACTATTCTTTTCCTCGGGGCTTCGCCCCTTGGAAAAAATAGTACTTTGCCAGTCCCTCCTCAGATAAATAATTTCCACTATTCTTTCTCACAGCTTCGTATATTTGTATACTATATGTATCAATATATAATGACTCCATATATTTTCCCAAATATGTATATATCCTTTTTTGTACACTATTCTCATACAATATTGGTTCACTTTAATATTGACATGAATGTACATGTATGCTTTCAAAAAAACCATATCATTTCATAATATGAATATATGATAATATATGTATTAATATATAATTTGACTCCATATAATTTCCCAAAATGAATGCATAATAATATGCATTCCCCAAAGAAAAAGAAAAGCCTCGTTGTTTTCTGTCAGGTATAGATAGCTCAGCTGTATAGAAAAGTTAACCTAATGACCTCATAATAGCGTTGCTACATGTAAGTATTAAATGGAAGAGCCTCCACATGGGCTCCTACTTACGTTAATACTAACAGAAAACACTATTTCTGCTCTACCAGGCAGTTGAGTGAATATTCATGAAGTATCAGTTTGGCAATTAAACAAGTAAATGGGTCATCTTAAAGGATTAGTGCCAAAGTAAACAGAAGTTTGGCTCATAAAAGGGTGTTAAAATCTTTAGCTTGGTTTTACTTTTAGGCAGTGTGTACCTGTTTAGGGTTTGGTATTCAACATGGGAACAAAGGGCTTATAGCTGGAGGATAAGTTTGCTCCGTAATCCTGGAAGAATAAAAGTAAGTTGAGTTTAGAGGGAAGTGTGAAATGATTTGAAAGGGAAGAGTTTTGTAAGACTTGAAAAGGTACTTTAATCGCTTTCATTGATCCACTTCAGGTTCAGCAGGCATTATGTATTAAACCCATTGCCTGCAGGGAACTAGGAGTTTCCTGTATTAAGCCTATGTGAGTGTGATTAACCAGCAGTCAGGGAGTTAAGTGTACATTGTCAATTTGGCATCTTGGTGGAAAACCTTTTGAGGGAGAGATGCATGATTCTAGTTCATTTCAAAAGATTGTATTAACCTTTAAAACTAGAAAGTGACCCAGTTTTAAAATGCAATCCAAATTGAGGAGAAAACTAAAACCATATTATTTTCCAATTCATGCTTAAAATGGAACTCAACAAATTTACAACATTATAGATTGGTTCATTTGCTACTTTTCATGTTCCGCATGAAGCTAACATCAAAAAGTCCTGCTCAATTTAGAATCATATCAAAACCAACCAAATTAGATTTACAACACAATCATTGATTCAAGAGTATGAATTAGAGTAGGAAATGAATATTCAATTCAATAAGACCCTATATTTTCTATCATTTTCATCCATACAGTCTTGGCAGGGGGTAGTTCATGAATCTCAGACAGGGGGATACATTTTTTAAGGGGGTTCGGAGGGTAGATATTGAACTAGAAAGCAATTTTTATATTCTAGAAAGCAATTTTTTATGGACATTTATTTTCCAAACATTTTTTGGGTCTCCATTATACATACGTACCGGTATGTTTGTTATACACGTAGACTGAGCAGTGTAACAACATAATTTGAGTAAACGTGTACATTCACATTTTTGTTGAGAATGCTTTTGGGCTCGTAATCAAATTAGATTTGGTTCGATACCAGAAGAGCATCAGTGCTGTATTTGACAACGTAGCACCCATGTAAAATCTAATTCAGCGTTAAGCATGTTTGCTAACTAGATGGACCTTCATACGCTCAGTTCCCAAATTTGATAAAGTGACATTTGTTTCATATTCAAGGGTTTGAGTGAATGGCCGGAGTGGAGTGAGTCATGTGCCTGTTCAATTATCAATAATTGTAGGCTGTTAAAGAAAGTTTCCATCGCCTATTTCTCAACCAAGGCCATAGATGATGCAATCCCGCCAGGGAGGACAATTTAAAATGAGTTTCATAATGAAAATCGGAATCCTGTTTCATACTAGTCTGGAGTGCTTTCTATTGATTTTACTATTTGCTATACTATCAAGGAAATAGAGAGACTTGGAAATTGATGTTTTGGAGGAAAGCGAGCTGGGATGGGAGAAGATAGATGGAATAAGTTATTGTGTTTGTGATGCAATTGTGATAATGATGATACATGTATATGATGATGATAATAATGATGAAGACAATGATGATGATGATAATATATCATTATGATGATAATAATACAGGGCCTCACGGATACCACCAAATTGGTGATATGTGCCACACTGTATAAATATCAGAAATAAATAAATACAAATAAATAAATAAAAATGATGATCATGACCATGATGATGATGATATGAAGGTGATAAAGATGGTGATGATGATGAAGATAATGATCGATATGCACACAGAAACTACAAACTATGTACATGTATACAATTATTAATTAAAAATGTACGGTAGTTCTATTTATTATATAGCGATTAGTGTTTTTCAAGTTTTGTGTTTTGTGGAAATGATCTATCTTAATTGATGGGAACAAAAGTAAAACTGATAATATATGTTCCTATCACAAATAGCCTACTGTAACTTTTGCTGTATGATGATAATAATACTATTATAATTATAGTGACATTATGTCATTTCAATGCTTGGCACCTTGCATCTTGGTACAATCATGGACCCTACATGGATGGTACAATGTAGATGTAGATGCCTTCGAAGGCCCAAGCCGTTTTCCTAGGGCCTTGATTTCTGATGACGAACTGCCAGTCATTACAAGGTCTCCTCTTGATGGTGTAAGAATCCTTGAGTGTCGCCCTGCTGGCAGCATTTTTGAGATGGGTGAAATTTGTCTAAATTATGCATAATCCTCAAGCATGCGGTATATGCGCACAAAATTGCAGGCATGCTATACTTGCCCAGTCATTATTACGGTGTAGTTTTTCTAACGGGTACAAAAAAAATCTCTCTCACATCTCACCTCTTTTTCTCTTTCTCTCTTTCTCTCTTTCTCTCTCTCCCTCTCTCCCTCCCTCCCTCCCTCTCTCTCTCTCCCTCTCTCTCTCCCTCTCCTCTCTCCCAACCCCCTCCCCATCACCCCTCCCCATCACCCTTCATTTCTTTTCCTTCCCCCTCTCTTCCCCTTCTCTCTCTCCCTTTCCCCATCCCACCTCCAACATTTCTTTCCCTTTACCATATTGCCCTCTCTCTTTCTCTCTCTTCCCCCCTCTTTCTCTCTCATCCCCCATCTCTCTCACAGGCTGTTATAAAGAATAGAGGCCAAAGTTTGCCTATGAAACTAGCTTTTTCAAATACATTTTACATGAAATTTTATGTATTGAAAAGTTTAGTTTCCAAGGTAGACTTATTAGATTAGAATGTAAACTCTGATAAATGTGATTGTCATGATATTCTCGTAACACATGAACATCTGTTGTTTTTCTTCATTTTTTTTTACACTTACATGGATATTAATCATACTTCTGACTTGAAGTCCATGCACTATTAAATTTGTTTCTGTTTTTTTGTTGTTGATTTTAGATTAATGACTGAAATAATTGAATTCATCTCGCATATTATTTGTCATATACACCTGTAAAACAGTTGTTCTTTCATTGTTTGTTTGATATTTTTCATGCCAGGAAACCACAAAATATTTTCTTTTTCATTCAGTTCATGGAAGACGTCATGACTGGATATATACATGAATAGACCCAAATTTTCAGAAGCCATTCTTAATTAATCCACCCACAATGAATAAAGGGTTTTTATTTTGATGGATGTATTAGATGTGTGAATCATTCACTTTGAATCTCCTTTAGTCACCGTTCTATTCTTATTCACAAAGATCAAGTGGGATTCAACGGATTTCTCATTCTCTCTTTTTTTCTCTTCTCCTGTTTCTGTTCACAGAATCTGGGCTTTGTTTGATAAAACCCGAGAGGAAGGACACTAAATCTTCAAACAAGGAATGAATCGAATCTTCAATAGAATACACAGAGCTTCACTACAATACAACCACAGCCCACTCAGTCAGTGAGTGATATCAGTGTCTACTGACTGGTGACCTCATAACCCTATTGTGTCAAGCCGCCAGTCAGGATCCCTCTGTATGGGCAACGTGCAAGAAAGGATCACCAGTCGGTCACTGCTCAAGTAGCTATTAGCAGTGCTGTGTAATATTGGAGAGCGAGGTAGAGAGAACCAGAGAGGAGCTAGCTTGGTGATGCTGACACTCCATACAATCTACTCCATCAGTGCGCCTGGCTGGGATAAATAACATTGTGTAGATCTCCGTAGTGTGTGTGTGTGCATCGCTGAATAGCAGCAGACGACTCTTCGCAGCCCAACGCATCCATCCACTACTACCCTGACGATTGTATGCACATCAAGCCTGGTTGCCTGGCTTCAGTGGGATTGCATTGCTCTTACAGTCAGCATTACAAGATGCAGAATGGGAACCGTGTCGTAATCGCTCTTACAAGTTGGCCTGCGTTTATGCATCCGCCGTCTGCCTGTGACAGTGAGGAGGTGCACAAGTGGTGATTGTTTTTCAGACTGTGCCTTGAAATTGTCAATGATCTGATGTGCATTCCTTCACCCCATACCTCAGATGCTACGGTGGATGATTAGATACTGTACTTCTAAACTGCATGCTGAAAATACGGATTTGTGATGGAAAAACATCAATTTTCATCACGTTTGGAATATCTTGGATTTATCATGGATATAAATGACTTCCATAGGACACGCTGAGAAATTTACGGAGAAAACAACGACATTCTGACCTCTCCACGAGATCTGTGTACAATAGAGCCTGAATATTTTGAATTGGCTTTTACACCCTTCTGCACTGTCGCAAGGTCACATATTTATTTACTTAACATTTAACGACCTTGTGGCGGAAAGTTGTGATTTATCAAAGTGCAAGAACACTCAAAGCCAAAATATTTGGATAATCTTCATACAACTCACGTTCCGCCACAACAGTGTTGGACCTTGGACGGTTTATATTCAGTGTAGGAAATATTTATATTTATGCTAGCGGTTCTCTTGAGGTCACCGTTAAATTCATTCTCCACGAGCAAACAAGAGTATTTCAGGGAGAATGGCTCATTTCATCGCTCTATCAGTACTACTATTCCTGATTTTAACAGTACTTCGTCTGCCATCGGTGGAACCATCAATAGATTTAAGTAAGTACACTGCTCATTTTGACATTTGTCTTCTTTTCCTTTGTTTATGTATTTTCAGATTTCAGGCTACAATGTTATTGCTCAATTGGTTGTTGATGCTCTCCACTCATATTTTTAGAGAATTTTAGAAAAACATCTCTATGAGATTTGCATTTTGGATTTTCGTCTTTTAAAATCATCTTTTATACTGAAAATTTCGCAGATTAGATGAGCTGAATGACATGCAAGTATGGAATTGTGTTCACTGTCTGTATGTCTGTCTCTGTCTCTCTTTCTGTCCCCATGATCCCATCTCTGTCTCTCTTTGTCTCTCCCTTCCTCTCTCTCTCTCTCTCTCTCTCTCTCTATTAGAAATGAGAAGACTTTGGAAATTGTGTTGTCTGTCTGTCTGTGTCTGTTTTTTTTTCTGTCCCCATCTCTCTTTGTCTCTCTTTGTCTCTCCCTTTCCATCTCTCTCTCTCTCTCTATTGGAAATGAGAAGACTTTGGAAATTGTGTTCTCTGTCTTGGTGTCTGTGTCTGTCTCTCTTTCTGTCCCCATCTCTGTCTCTCTCTGTCTCTCCCTCTCTCTCTGTCTCTCTCTTTGTCTCTCTCTTTCTCTTTCTCTTTCTCTTTCTCTCACACTCTCCCTCTCAATTCATACATACTATGCCTTTCTTTTTTTCCTGCATGTCTCTTTCCCATTTTCTCCAGCTCTAAGGGTCCATGCTTTATACATAATCTGGTATTCAAATATTAGTATTCTTATTCTTTCTTTCATTCTCTCTCAACTTCTCTTCCCCTCCTGCAATTGGGCTTTACTCCAACTTTCCGAGTGAGGAAATCAACCTGCATAAACGTAAAGCCGACATGAAATTTTGCCAAGATCTCAGATCCCACCACCCTTTCGATATATATTTTCTGTATTTCATAAACTCCTGCTTCTTAAATTTGGGTTGTATTTCCTTGATGGCGTCTTGATATATCTTTTGGCAAATATCACAGGATATACATTTAGGTAATGATCCAGAAAGCATTCGCTTGAGGCATTTGCGTTTGGGAAAATTTAGAGTTAGATGATTTGATTACCTTAGTTGCACTTCCCTTTCCTTAGAATATCATTTCATTCACAGCAATTGGTTTCATCCCAGCACGGGAATAATGTTAGATATAAATGATAAAAGAGAACATGAGAATGTATAATGCATACACTGTAGATTCTGTGAGATATTATGCACTCAGTAGGTTTTTCTATTATTGCTATTGTTATTAAAATTATTATTAAAATTATTATTAAAATTATTATTATTAACATGTTTTCAAAATTGAAGGTTGAATAAATTTGCCAAGAATATAGAACCTACAAGTCCTTGTGATTGATTTAGATTTAAAGCTAGACACCACAATATCCATTTTTACAGTGTCTCAAATGGACAAAGGAGTCATCAATTCAGTTTTCCAGATGCGAAAAAATATCAAAATACATTTTGAATTCAATTATGTATTTTATATTTTCAATTTAAATATTGATGGAAAATAGTTGGCAGTTTATCTACTTGTAAATAACAATTAAATGCTGTTTACATGACTTACGACATGGTTCACAATGGGTACATGTACTTTTGCACACGCCTCTTGCCAACATGTTTCGCACTCGGTAATCACTTCTTAGATCAAAACAAATTGGCCTAATGACTTTGAATTCTGGTATGCAATGAAAGCCCATTGTTTACTGAGGGGCCGGGTCGAACGTTGGTGAGTGCTGGCCAAGTTTCTTACCGTTTCTCAGGTGCTGAGTTAATTTCTATTGCTAAATTGGAGGCGTGCAAACATGGCCTCATCGTTAGGAAGACCACTGCAAAATTTTACAGAAGACATTTAAAGAGAGGGTCGAGTTCTGGAAAGAGGTGAACAATAATTTGTGAGCGCTATCATTGTATTAATGCAAGTGTGGAAGAACCTCAGATGAAAAATGTTCCCTGAAAAGCATGGCTCTTCAAATGCCTTAATATTCTAAATATGGCACGTAACATTATGAAAAATCGGGATGGATTTTTATGCCACGTGTTTGTGTAGTCCCATCTTTCTGTGTACAGTGCTTTTAACTTTTAAGACTGGGCCAAATTTCTTATCATTTTGATGATTCCAGAATCTTGCAGTACACTCCAACATGTATGCTAGATGATCAACCTTTTCTGATCGATTCCACAACGTTTCTTTTACGATGCAATCGCGTGACCAGAACTCAACTTCATCTTTTATAGGCCATTGTGTAATGATTAACATTAAAAATACAAGCCATTGTTATCCTCGACCTACCTTTTGGGAACAGTTGCTGGTTTGTCCATACACATGTTGGCCTTCTTCATTGTATTATTAGTTTACATGTAATTTGAGGCGTTATTATATTACGAAGATATAATATTACTGATCCTATTGCTTGTACATTAGAAAAGAAAAGGACAGTATTAAGGACTTTATTGCATCCTTGAAGAAAAATCAAAACAATGTTTCTCATTAAAGCAGGTATGGATTAATGTAATCATTGTATTATTGTATCATTTGAAAGCATGTGTACTTTTGCTGTATGACAATTGTCAAGCAAGGAAAAACAATCATACAGCTCATATACTTCTTTCTGTAGTATCTGTCTGTTTTGGGGTCTCACTTTTTTTCTTTGGCGTACCATATAATTTCCTTCATCAATGTCTGAATGAAGTTGCCATCTTTAATACAGCTCCCTTCTTTTAAAGGGAGGTATCATTGCCGACCGTTACAGATTCGAAACTGTTCCGAGGTTACGGTTTTGAAATTTCTGAATTCCAATAGAAATGTCTTGATATTCAAACATGCAATTGGTTTGTAAAAGCTATGGGATTCCTGACTGACCTAAACTGGCTAAAGGTTTGTAATTATGATAGCAGCATGAGTTAAATCATTGATTTTGTTTTCAATCCGAGGCAAAGTCACCCGCTCCCTTTAAAGCCTGTCTGTACTAGTTTGGCCAGGGGGATTAGACCTTCCTGCAAGGTCACTGACAGGTGGTTATCTCATGAAATCTGCTCTCAATAATAAGAAAAAGGGATCATGGGGAACCAACAGGCACCGACTAGGCATGGTTTGCTATATAGAGGGCACAAGTAGCTACAAATGTATACGTAGTGCAGTGGGGCTTAAAGGATGCCTGTATTTAGACATCAAATGAATTTGGACTGTTATCAAAACTTCAGATGAAAATACTTTGTTCATGATTTACAGAAAGAAAAAAATATCCCACATTTTTCTGCTGCGTACCCATTCTCATGAATTTCATGAATCCCAAATATTTGCAATTTGTGTGGCTTCTTGGGTTCGTTGACCACACGGTCATGACTCTGGGGGTATCAACATTTGGGAGTTCCAAGAACCAAACACCACACATTTATCCCAAGAGCACATTTTCAAATCTTTATCTCTTCACTCAAGTAGAGGAATACTGTAATACCCACAGGTTTAATACTTGATGTAGTATTTTTATTTGCCAAGGCTGAATATGGTGATAGGCTTTTTTTATCGTCTTATGGCCTCCTGCATAGAATTTCTTGGAATTGTTTGTAAATAAGTTTCAGTTTGTGAAAGTCAAGGAGAAAATTGTGTTTTGAAAAGCAATGCTAGTATTGATCAGGTGTCACTTTTGAGACCTACAGTATAATGTCTTGCTCTCAAGTTGTAGAATAAACAAAAGTATGCTTCTTTCGCTTGTGTTTAATATTGAAGATAGTTTATTGATCTGTATAATTATGATACTAGTACACAATCATACTCTTGCACTGATAAAAATATTTGGTAAATGTTATATCAATTAATGTTGAAGAGTTGTACTTTTTGTTCTCAAGCCACAGTCACAGAGTGAAAATGTATGCATCATTACGTACTCTTAATCATTACTTTGTATGATTTATGTCTTTGCACTTCTCTGTGAATGCAATAACATGACAATTTGCGAGGCAGAGTGGAGTGCCTGCAGAATTCTCTTCCCATTGATATGATTAATGTGGTGTACATGTATCTCTCGATGCACTCTGAAAGACACTGCTGCTGAAACAGACGATGATATTTAGATGAGCCCCCACATCTGTCAACGTATTATCACCCGCGGAACGTACTTGAGTTGAGTGGAGAAGGGTCCTTTACTTAATACCAAATGGTTGCCATCTATCACAACCACTGGGGTGTATTATTGAAATGGGAGAAGCAGAAATGAAGTTGATGACTCTGATGATCAGTTTCTCACTTTGGGCTTTTAATGACAGAGAATTGACTTTGATGCTCTTTCATGTTTAAAGATAAAGTTGAGTTCTGGTCATGCGATTGCATTGTGAAAGAAATGTTGTGGAATCGACCAGAAAAGGTTGAAGCATATGTAAGTATATTGGTGTGTACTGCAAGGTTCTGGAATCAACAAAATGATAAGAAATTTGGCCAGTCTTGTTAAAGTTACAAGCACTGTACAGTGTACACAGAAAGATGTATATGGGACTACATGTACTTAAACATGTGGCGTAAATATCTGTCCCGATTTTTATGCTTTTACATGCCATATTTAGAATATTAAGGCATTTGAAGAGCCATGCTTTTTGAAGGAACAATTTTATCTGATGTTCTTCCACACTAGCATTTAACAATGATAATGCTCACAAATTATTTTTCACCTCTTCCCAGAACTCAACCTTCTCTTTAAGTTTAAGATTTGATGAAGTACAAGAGAGAGGGTAGGGTCAAACTAGAGAGAGCAGGAGAGCGTGAAAGTTCAACTAGCAAAGTTAGCATGCCCCAGACATCATTACAAGAGTCATTTATTTCCAGACGATACAAGAACATAACATTATGGTAGAACCATTGATATGGATAAACTCTTAGTCAGATGGATCTTTCCTTTGCGATACAATGTAAATGTACATGTAGGTTACAATGTTACCCTAATGTCTTTTGGCAAGACATTAATCCACACTTGCCACTCTCCACCCGGGTGTTAAATGGATA